ACGCTGATAAGATCGGAGAGATTAAGTACTACGGCATCGGTGAAGGGTTCCCCCTACAGTATTACCCCTATTACGGCAAGAAGCTGCACCCGCAGTACCTGCAGCCACTGGTGGCGCTGCAGTTCACCAACCTGACCCGGAACACTGACCTCCGCATCGAGTGCAAAGTGTTCGGAGATAACATCGACTACAGCGAGAAGGACCGCTACCAGGGACGCTTTGAGATCAAGATCCAGGTTGAAGAATCATGACCGCCATCAGGCCCATAGCACTCCCCCGCCCCACCCCCCTGTAGTATCAGTCAGTTGTATGAGATGAGAGGGGCAAGGCTGTAGCTATTAGCTCGTGTTGGCTGAGTGAAGGGGAAACGCTGTTAGGGACTGTTGTGTAATCTGCTTTCATCACTTGCTTCTGTATTTCTGTCTTAGCCTTAGAATCAAATTTAGGGGAACGTAGCAATAGGGCCAATGATAATATTTAGTGTGCTGTAAATGATACCTCTAAACAAGCCATGGGACACTTCCACGGAGTCTGTGTGCGCGGCATATATCGCTGCCTGTGTGGTTTTAGCAGCTAGTTCTTTGGAGTGTACAGATCGGGTCCTTCAACCTCATCTTACTGTATGAGCAAGCTTCAGCAGTGCCAGCCATGAGCCTCAGACATGTCCTTAATAATAACATTAATAATAAAATGGTTCCTCGCTGTGATCTATGTAAGGAAAACGCTGCACTCCAGGAAACCTCTCCTCTTTATTTCTTTTACAGCTGATCGTGGGAGACCTCCTTAAATCGTTCAATTGTGTGATTGGGTTTTATTTGTTTCATGCCTTTAACTTTTGATTCTGCCTTGAATGTAGACTCGTGTCCAGTGTGTTAGACCCTGGCCTGTTATAAGGGCGACGGTGCTAACTAAAGGGTTTGTTTTTGTTTTGTTGGCAACTCTCTGAATGTTTGCAACCATGAAACATGTTGGAAGACTTTTATATTTATGCAGTTGTACATTTTATTTCTTTGCAAAATATTGTAATGTATAATGCAATACCAAAGTGATGAGTGTAAGAGAGTCTTTATCAGAAGCAATGCAGTACGCCTTTGTAGGCTGTCAGCGTCTTGCCTTGCGACCTTTAACGGTTAACTCTGAGTTTATGTTCTGGCCGTGAATGTAGGCGAGTGTGTAACGAAGAGCTGACAGGCGGCTAACTTCCACAGGCCTGATGTCCATGCATTTGTCCAAAAACACGGAGTTCACGCAGAGCTCTGTGGCTTAGATGAATGACGATGTTGGCTTTAATATTCTGTAGGATCTCATGTTGATGTAAAACATTCGACCATAAATTTACCTCCAGTCAACTTTTCATCTGTTCATTTAATCAGATAGAAACCAATAAAGTCCGACTGGACCTTCCTCTGGTGTCGTGCTCTTTTTGTCTGTTCTCGTGTCGGCGTCACATTTGCATCATGTGTTTGCCCGCCATCCCCAACGAGGGGCTCCGTCCTTCCTGCCTGGAGTCCACATCCTGCAGCTCAGTATAAAACCCTTTATACTTCGTGTCATGCTCGTAATGCAGTAGAGCGTTTACATACTACAGGGGACAGACTGATAGTTAATGATTAAACGGAGTGAAGGAGAAACACCCAGTGCATCATGGGATGCAGAGCTATTGCAGCTAGCTAAGAGAGGATCCAGGGTCGCCTGGTCCAGCTCGAGCTATAGGCTCTATAAAACAGGAAACTCTGTTATTCACTTCAACTCTGCGTCTAAGTAGACATTCGGCACTGGTGAACTGGGAGCCATCCTGTTTTCAGAGTGCATGTGTGCAGGACCTTTCATGTGCAGTCACATGACAAAAAGACTACAAAGGAAGCTTTAAGCGTGCTTGTGTACATCCAGGCTGAACTTCATGTTTAACTCCTTTTCGAGCTCTTTCAGAGCTTCCAGATGCTCACACAGCTTCATCTCACGCTTGATGGAAACAGGTCTGAAGCTGCTTTCAGTGGAACAAAGTCTTTCTCAACACTGAAAGTAGAGTGTCTGCTAACTCTGTCGGCTCTCCTGTCTGTGTGACAGAGGACAGGGCCCTCCCCCTCTTCCTGTTTGGCCTCAGTGATGAATGAACTGTTGTTGGCTGAGGGCAGGGCACCGTGACTGGACGATTTCTGTTCCTGTTCAGTTATTGAGTGTCCAGTGTTGAGTTTCTGTAATTACAGGAGGAAGCTGCTGTGTGCAGCTAACACAGGGATGTTGTTTCAGGCGCCGGGGGGCAAAGCGCCCTTTACTTGAGGCTTTTTTTGTTTTAATGTGTGTGTGTAAAATTATTCATCACCACTTCTCCTTAATGAAACGATCTGGCTTTCATGCGTCACATGATGACCGTTAACCAGCGATCGCCCGTGACGCCACAGCGCGCTGGCTATGAGCAGGAACGAGCTCGCCAGGGGGACAAGCAGCTTTTGCACTAAAAGCATCACTAAAAGTGATCTGTTATGCATATCTGCATGAATATGGATTATTACAATATTAAAAAACCTCACTGTATTTTAAAGAAAATCTATTAAGAAACAGACTCTATTAGAGATTATTCCAAATATGATGAGATGATGTATATAAGAAAGGCTGATTATACAGCAGCAAAATGATTGTATCTACAGTGTGTGACTGGGTGTGTAAAGCGCTGTGCACTGGCCCAAAGAAAATAAAGAAATGATTTTCTCTTTATGTAGAGGATGAGATGATTTTTAACAGGACATGTTTATAACAGCTGCTTCAAACTGAGGTCCTCTTGGCCCCTGGACACGTGTGTCCTGGTTTCACTGTTCATCTTTACATGTTCTCTGCCGCTTGGTTTTCCTTGTTAATCAGCTCACTTTCCTTCTGCATAAATCAACCTGCTCGCCTGTCACCGCATGCAGGTAGATACGATCTGTTTGCATCAGCACACCTGTGTGCCAAACAAAAAGCATCAATCCACAGCAACAAGCAAGGCCCACCAGCCAACACCAGTGAGCAGGTGTCTTACTACAGGAGGGGCATTGATGCATGTGTGGAAAACACCGAAGCACGTTTGGTAAATGCACCGTGCTTTTCTTCTCTATCCGAGCAGCCAAGGGTTCATACACGAGTCACACTCCAATAAAGACATCAGGAGAAACCCAGGGGTTCGTATCGTGCTCACAGTCTAAATAATAAGTAATAATGGTGGGCCTAATGCAGACCTTCCCAAAGTGTGGGGCCCGCCCCTACGGGGCCGCAGAGCCATGGCAGGGGGGGCACGGTATGAAAAGGAAAAAAACAAAGCTTGGACACGGCTAGCAGGGCGCCCACACAAACGCACAGCAGGAGATGAAGCATCGCTGAATATGTTTCCAAACCAACTTCATTCTAAGCCAAAGACTAGAAAGTATTGTGAAGCAAATCTGCCCTTTGGCTTCACCTGCACAGGTGCCGAGGTAGGTCTCCCTGCAGGGTTGGTTTTCCTTCGTCAGGAGCAGCGCTGGGCTCTTCAAATCACGGACTAACAGGATCCCACAGCTGTTTATGTTTTTGAACCCATTTTGCACAGAGAGGCATTTTTGAAAAATGTATTGACAGCATGCTTAGGCTGCTGCCCCCGCGACCGGGCCTCGGATAAAGCGGATGAAGATGGATGGATGGTATTGACAGCAATGTTGAGGAAAAAACAACTACATGTAAAATGACGCCTCTGCCTTTGTAAATGGAGGGACAGTAACTGCGTGTAAAGCTGCAGACAGTCATTTTTCTTGTAAAACAAAGGGGGGGGCAGCAAACAGTTTGGGAACCACTGATGTATTGCTGATTATTTCTGAACACAAGAGGGCAGCAGCGCTCCGTGAGTCCGTGCCTGTGACGCGCTGGTACATAATCAGGAAGATTCACACATAAAAGCATCAACACAGATTCAGTCTGCGCCGACAAATAACTGATGTGTGCAAAGACTTCAGCAGCTACAGGAAACAGAAGACTCAGGACTCGATCAGTGGGAATTTTGTCTGTTAACGCTACAGGAGAACATGGCTGATTATTTAAAGGAGTGCTCTGGGAACCAGGTTGAACCTGTGTTCTTGGCAGCACAGACTGTGTGTGTTCAGCTGTGCTGATTATTTAGACTATGTTTTCTTGTTTCTGTAAAGCTGGAAGGTCTCGTATGAAGGCACATGATGATGCTGCAGGATGCTCCTCTGGGGACGCAGGTAGAGCTGCCACTGAGGCTGTAATGAATTTAATTGGTGAGTGAGATGAGTGGCTGTCAGCAGCTTGTTAACACATCAGCAGGTCTGGGAATTAGCAGAGAGATGACAGTGAGCCCTGTCTGCTTGTACAAACCAGCTGTTGATAGTTGCACCAGGCCTCACACTTAGTTTCATTTGAGCTGCAGCGCTTTGTTTATTGGTACCCAGCACATCAGTGTGCATATGGCACAGACACGGCCTCTATAGCAGTGTGTCGTGGTGAGCTGTTGGTCGGCCATGAAGCGTTTTCTGCCTGAGCTTTTACAGATTTTGTTCCGCACTAGACACATGAACTCTGATCATCACTTCTTCTTCTTCGTCTGCCAGAAGGCATCAACAGCTTAACTCCAATCTCATTTACAGCTCCTAATCTGAGTGGCTGCAGCTAAGCACACACACACACACACGAGCACGTCTTTCAGTGACAGCTGCATCTCCTCATGTGAAGCCACAGACACAGCCACTACCTCACTGATGGAGACCTCAGTCAGATGATGACTGACTGTCCTGTGCAGCCGTCACATCCACTCTGCAGCTGCTCTCACTCGAGTAGCACAGACGGTGAGCGAGCTCACGGTCCAGCTCAGATTAGAGCAGGCTGCAGGAGGTCCTGCTCCTCCGTCGGCTGCAGGTGGAGTCTGATGTTTTACTTTAGCCGTCCACGCAGTAAGAGGATTTACTCAGACTGGAAGGGATAAAAATAAAGAGTAAGTCTTTATTTTGATATGCCTCTACTCTCTACCTGCAGGAAATGCTGTCAAAACATTTGAATGTATGAAGATTACACCAGCACAAGCTACAGTCACAGTGGGATTGGCTTCATAAGCAAACTGTAAGTACACACTGAAGCCTCCGCTGCACTAACACACACTGTTCATGTCACACTGCTGGAGTGACGCCTGTTCAAGGCTTTCAGTAAAACGATCAGTGCGAGTTCTGTGAAGTCAGGACTCACAAAGTCCACAAAAACGATGGTTTGTCACAGACGGTGTCGCCAGCTCTTTGTCTGGTGATTCTTGTATGCAGGGAAAACGACTCCTTCATGTCTCCCCTCCCTCCGCCTCCTCCCCCTCCCTCCGTCTTCTGCAGGGAGGTGGTGCGGAGTGCACAAGAAGCAGAAAGTCTCCCACACCACAGGAAAAGCTCATCCACCATAAAGCATGACTCTGGTTTTCTGCAGTGACTTGCATTAGAAGTATGTGAGCAGGTGTCCTCGGCTCGGTTCTTGAAGGAGAAAACAAACCTGAGCGACGTGGGATTTATTCCACGCTCATCTTCAATTCCCTTCACAGGTGGAAGCTGCTCAGCATCATCATCTCTCACATTCAGGTAAGTTTACACAATAAGAAGTGGCTGTGATCGCACAAAGACAACTGCAGAACTGCCCAGAGTTAGAGCTTAAATGTCAGGTTGAAACTCTAATTTTAGCTGCTGTGATCTGGGAGTGAAGGGATTTGAGTCAACGGTGCTAAAGAAGAACCATGCAGAGCCAAGGAGGCTAAATAAAGAGAGGAGCTCTTTATCTGCTGCTCCGTAAACTAAACGCAGACTCTGGTCACAACATTGTTGCTGAATCCTCTTCTGATTTCATGTGAATGCAACAGATTTTCTACAGAAAAAAGGATGAAATGAAATATGTAGAAGCCCAGGCTGCAAATGTTTCTGTTTATCAGACCTTTTTGTGTGTCATCAGCCACAGACTTCATCACCATGCTCTCTAATAACTGCAGGCACAGAGTAGCTTCTAGAGCTGAGGTCAGATGTGTTCGGACGTTTCTGCTTCTTAGGTTTGAAATGAAACAATGAAACTACGCCACAGTTTATAATTTCACATTTCAACATTTGGTTCAGTTTTATTTATATACCACTACTTACATAATCGTTATTATTAGTCTGTGAGTCTTTTCCACAGGCTGTCTTTATCTGTCCTGTAAATCACAGCACAGAGAAAACCCCAACAATCGGACAGCTTCCTTTTGAGCAAGCACTTGGTTACAGTGAGAAGAAAAAACATTTTTAACAGGAAATAACATCCAACCATTTGCTTTGACACGTTTGGGGCGGTGGATACAGAATAGATAGAAAACATTATTTATAGTTTCCAGACAGAAACAAGTCACATAAAACAGAATATGCTGCTGAACATCCTTGGCAACAGGTACTGGCTATGGATGATTTGTATCACAGCATGCCTCATTTACCCATTCACACACATATCTTCCACTTATTCATCCTCAAACCTCTGTGGTGACTTTGGTGGTGTGATTGGGATCACTGCCCTGCTGTGGGAGTTGTGGTGCATTTATCTCTTTATGCAGTTTGTACTCATTTCTCCCAGAAGTTGATTCTGTTCATCTGGATGTTTTCAGTGGGAGAAACGTTTCGTCATCATCAGGTGACGTCTTCAGTCTCAGCTGACTGCTGAGACTTATAAACAGGACATTTGCATAATGACTGAAACCAGCCCACTGAAGCAACAATGAGCTGGGAGGTCAGCTCCTTCATCATAATTGCGCAAATTCTCATGACCATTGATCAACAACCACTGATCAATAACCATGAGTCCCTAATTTCCCTCGGGATGAATAAAGTATTCTGATTCTGATTCTGATTCACAGAGAGTTGGGGAATGGCTGCAATCACAGCATTGTAAGATGGTGACAGATGTACCCTTAGGCCCCTCCTCCATTCAGAGATGGTCTTTCCCTTTTCACGTAAATGGCCTCCTTGACTCCGCCCTCAAACCAGCGTTCCTCCCTGTCCAGGATGTTACATCCTCATCATTGAAAGAGTCCACTGGCCTGTAGGTGTAGATAGACTGCAGAGTCCAGGCCTGACGAGGTGGCTCTGCTGTGTTGGTCCATCCTCTCAGCCAGAGCTTGTTTGGTTTCCTCGATGTATAAATCCTGGCACTCCTCCTGCACTTAACAGCGTACACTATGTTACTCTGTTTGTGTCGGGGGACCCGATCCTTGGGCTGGACCAGTTTTTGGCGCAGCGTGTTTTGGGGTTTAAAAGCCACAGAGACCCGGTGTTTAGAGAAAATGTGTCTCAGCTGCTCCGATATAATTTCTGTCTGTTTGACATGTTTAGTACACAAGTCCACATTTGTTTTTACAACGCATGATTTAATGTTGAAAGAAGCACATTCAACTGAAGAGTATGAAATACACTTACTGCTAACTGTAACCGCTAACTACTAACTATGTGACTCTTAGAAAGACCCCAAAACCAAGCAATCTCTATGCAATCACCACCACGTCTGTGCTGCAGTCATATCAAACTGCATTTGAAAATCACATAAAATCACATCACACACCTAACTAAGGCCCCTTCTTATCTTAATGACCTTGTAGTACCATATCACCCTATTAGAGCACTTGGCTCTCGCTCTGCAGGCCTACTTGTTGTTCCTAGAGTATTTAAAAGTAGAATGGGAGGCAGAGCCTTCAGTTTTCAGGCCCCTCTTCTGTGGAACCAGCTTCCAGTTTGGATTCAGGAGACAGACACTATCTCTACTTTCAAGATTAGGCTTCAAACTTTCCTTTTTGCTGAAGCATATAGTTAGGGCTGGACCAGGTGACCCTGAATCCTCCCTTAGTTATGCTGCAATAGGTGTAGGCTGCTGGGGATTCCCATGATGCACTGGGAGTTTCTTCTTCAGTCACTATGTGTTAATAGACCTCTCTGCACTGAATCATTAGTTTTTATTGGTTCTGCTGGAGGTTTCTTCCTGTTAAAAGAGAGTTTTTCCTTCCCACTGTTGCCAAAGTGCTGCTCATAGGGGGTCACATGATTGTTGGGGTTTTCTGTGTGTGTGTTATTGTAGGGTCTACCTTACAATATAAAGCGCCTTGAGGTGACTGTTGTTGGGATTTGGCGCTGTGTGAATAAAATGAACTGAATTGAATTCAATCACACTACCAAGCCCAACGAGTGCTGTGAATGTGGGACTTTGGCTTCAAAAAGTACAAAGTTATTTACTTCTATTTAAAGTGCTCATTGTGCTCACACTTTAATTACGACAGCACATGAGCAAAGTGTCCTTTGACCTCAGAGCCTGTATGCAGCTTTGGACCCGGTGAAACAGGCTCAGTGCAGGTCGTGTTTTCCTGTAATCCAGTATGTCACTTGGATTTTTCATTCGAGGTAGTCTTCAAGGATGCACTTTGGAAGAAGCAGCGTCGGCCCTGCGGAGCCCGTCCTCAGCAGACGAGACGGCGCCGTGGGGAACAGGTGAGCTTTCAACCCGAAGCTGCAACAGAACATTATTATACTGAATGGACTCAACATCAATATGCTGTTTTCAAAAGTGATAAAAACACAACTAGCTTCAGTTGTTTGACAATTAGATTTCCACGTACTCAGTCAGACACAGCCAACACAGCAGAGGACGAAGGAATCTGATTCCAGGCTCTGACACAACAAAGCTGAATAAAACGAAGCAGCGTGGAGCAGAGTGTGAAGGAATTAGTGGAGCTGTCCCAGTGAAGAGCACATGCAATACAAAAGAGAAGAGAGCAGGGTGGCACTGCTACCGTCTTTATGTCAGGAAACACAAGTGAAGTGGTTTCCTGTGTTGTGCCACTCATGTACCCACTGTGGACACGCTGACACGTGTTGCATGTATTTACAGATGATCTTGTATTATTCACATGTGTTCAAACCCCAGTTACAGTCTCATAATTAACCTGTGTGTGTCTGCCTTTGTGTGTGATGTGTTTATCTTCTCATGGTTGGTTTCCTGCTGCCCGTAATGACCGCGCTTATTCTTAAATTGTTCCTTGGTCGCAAATCCATGCAATGATTTATCGATCTTGCAGCGATGTTCAACGGGTCCTTGCCGCAAAGAACACAAACAACTGCAACAACAATGACGGGTAAGATGACGTCCTCTCACACGTCTTTATTCTCATCTCACTGATGAGTCAGACATTCTCCACGTCCGTGTACAGATTCTACAGCTGTCCACAAACCTTTCAGTTCAGGCAGCTGAATCAGTGCTGTGTCAAACCTGTGGTTCAGATGAGGGTCTGATTTGGGGCTGAGCAATCAGTGAGCAGAGGTCTCATCGCTAAACGTATCGTCGCCATCGAAGGCAGCGTAGGATGTTTGTGACAGAGATGTGTGTTATTCTTGAGTTAGACTAGAGGCCGCCCTCAGGTGGAGTGTAAGGGCTGAGTTTAGGACTTTATTTAGAGAGATCAAACAAACTAAATGTGGGACAAAAACTAGAAGTGTGTCAAGAAGCATTTAGCATGTCAATGTGACCTTCTCAGCTCCCTCGTTAATGACATTTACTCTCAATATACTGAGACTGTATTAAAGGAGCTCAGTTGAATTTAATGCTCTTTTATTCTCATGCATTGACTTTTTATACTAGTAGACTTTCAAACCGTTAACTGTCATTCAGGCGTCATTTTGTCTGGTGATCACTGGGGTTAAAGACAGGACGCATCCCTCGACAAGCACATCATTTCTGAGCTAGAGCTTGTAAAAATGAAAGTCTTGCGATCCACCTTCTAGCAGCTTCCGCCAGTTATTAGAAGCTTTTTGGGCTACTGTGTCAACAGTCACCCAAGTGCCACAACTGTTGTGATTTGATGCTATATAAATAAGGTTGAAGAGGATGATTCTGACACAGGAGGAGATAGAAGATGATGAAAATGTCAGGAATACAGAGGATATTAAGAGTACATCCCCTACCTGTTTATGAACATTACAGAAAGAAGGATGACAAAAAGGATGAAAAGAAAGACGACAAAAAGGATGATAAAAAGGACGACAAAAAGGACGACAAAAAGGACGACAAAAAGGACGAAAAGAAGGACGAAAAGAAGGATGAAAAGAAGGATGATAAAAAGGACGCCAAAAAGGATGATAAAAAGGAAGAACTGTAAGTACACCATACTTTTTGGGGATGTAACAAACAGGAATATTGTGAATTTCATAATATTACGCCTGAAATAATTAATTAAATCTCTATTAGAGAAAAGGTTGCGTGGATATGAGCAAAGGTTATCCACGTAAGAGTTTGCAGAGTCCACCAATGGTTCAATATACAGTTTACAAAAAAAGAGACTACCGCTCATGATACCATTTTAATCATACTGCTCAAAACTTAATGTTATGTTAAAGGAACATCCAGACAATTTTATCTTTGCTTTTGGGTGTAATTTCAAATCTAGCATTCAAAAAGTTTATCTATTTATTTTATTTTATGTACAGATTTTGAAGAATGGTGCACAAAATGGAAACAGAGGCTGTTTGCCTTCAAAGTAAAGTTTTGTCTTTTAGACCCCATTCCTACAAAACTGCTCAAAGAAGTCCTGCCATTAATTAATTCTTCGATCTTAAATATGATCAACCTATCTCTAATAATCGGCTATGTACCACAGGCCTTCAAGCTGGCTGTAGTTAAACCTTTACTCAAAAAGCCATCTCTAGACCCAGCAGTCTTAGCTAATTATAGGCCAATCTCCAACCTTCCTTTATATCAAACATCCTTGAAAGAGTAGTTGTCAAACAGCTAACAGATCATCTGCAGAGGTTTATTTGAAGAGTTTCAGTCAGGTTTCAGAGCTCATCACAGCACAGAAACAGCTTTAGTGAAGGTTACAAATGATCTTCTTATGGCCTCTGACAGTGGACTCATCTCTGTGCTTGTCCTGCTAGACCTCAGTGCAGCGTTCGATACTGTCGACCATAATATCCTATTAGAGCAATTAGAACATGCTGTAGGTATTACAGGTACTGCACTGCAGTGGTTTGTATCATATTTATCTAATAGACTCCAGTTTGTGCATGTAAATGGAGAGTCCTCTTCACACACTGAGGTTAATCATGGAGTTCCACAGGGTTCAGTGCTAGGACCAATTCTGTTTACATTATACATGCTTCCCTTAGGCAGCATCATTAGAAGACATAGCATACATTTACACTGCTATGCAGATGACACCCAGCTCTATCTGTCCATGAAGCCAGATAACACACACCAATGAGTTAAGCTGCAGGAATGTCTTAAAGACATAAAGACCTGGATGGCCGCTAACTTTCTGCTTCTTAATCCAGATCAAACTGAGGTTATTGTACTCGGCCCTGAAAAGCTTAGAAATATGGTATCTAAGCAGATTCTTACTCTGGATGGCATTACCTTGGCCTCCAGTAACACTGTGAGGAACCTTGGAGTCATTTTTGACCAGGACATGTCCTTCAATGCACATATTAAACAAATATGTAGGACTGCTTTTTTTGCATGTGCACATTACCTCCTTGAAACCTCCAGAAACTACTCTGCAATCAGTTAGGTAATATACACTTTATCCATGACCAGGCTGCAGATCGGCTGTGACTACTGCCAAAATTAAGCTCACATTGCATTTCTAACTTTTTTTAATTAAAAAAAAAAATACATACTTTTATTAAAAGGGAACTTCTTCTCATTTAGGAAGGAGGTGTGGATCATGGACCCAGCCACGGATATGTATTACTACTGGTTGCTCACAATAGCTGTCCCAGTGTTCTACAATCTGATGTTCCTGGTGGCAAGGTTTGAATTCATGTATTTAGTATTTTCTCTTATCGTTGTTAGTGTTCATGGGTCTCAGTCATGGTTTGTTTCCATACAGAGCTTGTTTTAATGAGCTACAGTATCAAAATTCAACACTCTGGCTGGTTTTGGACTATGTGTCAGATGCCCTCTACTGCATGGACATCTTTGTGAGAGCCAGGACAGGTACTGATGGAAACCTAAGATTTTCAGTTTGTCATTATATAAAATCTTCAATACAGTATATGATAATGATTATCGTTTTCTTCTTTGTCAATAGGTTTTCTGGAGCAAGGACTTGTTGTAAAGGATGCAAAGATCCTGAAGGAAAAGTACATGAAGACACCCCAGTTCAAGTTAGACATGTTATCAGTGATTCCTACTGACATTGTTTTCTTCTATATTGGAATCAACAACCCAGAGTGGAGGTTCAACCGGCTGTTTAGGTTAGGCCGTCTCTTTGAGTTCTTCGACCGGACTGAAACGCGAACCAATTTTCCAAACATCTTCCGAATCGCTAATCTTGTACTTTACATCATCATCATCATCCACTGGAATGGGTGCCTGTACTTTGCCATCTCAAAAATACTTGGTTTTGGGTCAGACACATGGGTCTACCCCGGGCCGACAAACCCAGAGTTTTCTCAGCTGTCCAGACAGTACATTTATTCCTTTTACTGGTCCACTCTTACCTTGACCACTATTGGTGAGACACCACCGCCGGTCCGAGACGTTGAATACTTTTTTGTCGTGGTTGACTTTCTTACTGGGGTTTTGATCTTTGCAACAATTGTTGGAAATGTTGGAGCCATGATCTCCAACATGAATGCTGCACGTGTAGAGTTCCAGGCGAAGATTGACTCTATCAAGCAGTACATGCAATTTCGAAAGGTCACTAAAGACTTGGAGGCGAGGGTGGTGAAGTGGTTTGACTACCTGTGGACTGAGGGGAAAACCTGCGATGAAAAGCAAGTGTTAAAAAATCTGCCAGATAAGCTGAAGGCAGAGATAGCCATTAACGTACATCTGGAAACCCTAAGAAAAGTGCGCATCTTTCAAGACTGTGAAGCTGGTTTGCTTATTGAGTTGGTCCTGAAGCTTCAGCCTCAAGTTTTCAGTCCTGGGGATTACATCTGTAAGAAAGGGGATATTGGTAGGGAAATGTATATCATCAAAGAAGGAAAGCTCGCTGTAGTAGCAGATGATGGCGTTACCCAGTTTGTGGTCCTTAGTGACGGAGCTTATTTTGGAGAAATCAGCATCCTTGGGATCAAAGGTAGTAAGGCAGGTAACCGAAGAACAGCTAACATTCGAAGCGTGGGCTATTCTGATCTCTTTGCCCTGTCCAAAGATGATCTCATGGAGGCACTAACAGAGTATCCTGATGCTAAGAATGCTCTGGAGGAGAAAGGAAGGGCCATTCTGATGAAAGACAATCTCATAGATGAGTCGCTTGTCGCTGCTACCGATGCTAAAGACTTGGAGAACAAAGTCGATCAGATTGAAGCCAGTTTCGAAATCATGTCAGCAAAATTTCGAAAGCTGACAAATCAATACGATTCCTCTCAGCGTAAACTCAAGCAGCGCCTCAGTAATTTATCAAACCAGTTCAGAAGCCTCAGAGTAGATGAGTAGAGGTTGGCCATCAGTACTACATAGGGAGTGTCTTCTTTACAGGGACTAGTACACTGCATCCGCTCAGTACTTCCAAAGATGCAAAAATAATAAGACTGCCCTCAAACAATGTTTCCACACATAGACAACAACAACGGGTCGTACCACCATGTGGATCATTATGTCTTTTCTTGTGTTAGTGATAACAATAACAGGCTGCACGCGATGATCAGAAACATGTGGAGGGACAAACCTGGAATAAAAGCAAAGACAAAGCTGCCACCAATCAACAGCAGCAGTCAAGCAGGTTCTAAAGGAGCACTACTTTAGCATCGGTGTGAGCATCCAACCAATACTGGTGGGAAACGTTTTCTTTACTACTCTGCCCAGAATCCCAGAGCGGCTCGTTCAGCAACGACACCATGACCTGGGCTTTGCACATACAGGACCTTCTCCTTTTATTGTGATCAGAATAACTCTTCTGAAGGACGCAATTAGTCAAAAGAATTCTAAAAAGGACCTTTTATGAATATTTTCTACATTCATTTAGAAGAACAGGACCACACCGACAAGTTTCAGTTCTGGTCATTAAAGTGAGAGAGAGAGATTTGAAAGTGCAACCAGATCTGGAGATTTAACAGCTGCTCTTTGTTGCTGCTTCGCCTCTGCGTGTTCTGAGATGACTGACAGTTTTATGCCAGACGCAACCTTGAACGGATTCGTGTCTGCAGCTGGAATCAAACTAGTAACGGTTTTCTTGCTCTTAACTGACCGCCTCATCCTTCAGCACAGCTGCAAACTGCTGTTCTGATATTTTTGACAACAGTTTTTTTCTAAAGCTCAGGCAGACCTTTACCATGATGAACATAGATCAGGAGGTTCCACTGGAACATATCTGCTGAATGGGCCTCTGTACACCTACACAAATATTATAAAAGCATTTCAAAATATGTATCATCAAATTTTTATTTTAAATATAAAGAAATGTGCTTTCTGTAAATAAATTTAAAAATAATAAAGTGACAATAAACTCTTGAAAAGTGGTGTATCCTTTCCCCTGAAACATGCTCTAAAGCCTCAATCCGAGCAGAGACTTCAATTTCACCATGTTAGCAGAAGTAGGGCCATGCAGACTGCAGATGTTGGTACATCTGCCCTAACTTTAAGCCTCAACAACAAACAATAGACACTAAAACTGTTTTTTACAAGTCATTTTCACATCTGAAATTTGAGTCTGTGGGGAATGACTACAGGAACTGCAGTTGTTGGCACTTTCACGCAGGCTTCGGTTTGAAGTCCAGGGTTTATGATTTCCATTTCTGCTTTTACATTCAACATTTGATCAGTTAGGCTCCTGTGAACGATCTTAGTCAGCATGAAGGAACACGAATGTGCACGAGGCAGTGAAAGCTTAGATTCCAGAGCTCTGCAGGTGTCACTGAGGAAGCATCTACCGCAAGCATGAGCAATTTTAGTTTAGTAAGCAAAAAGAGTTTGCACGCTTTATTTCAAAGAAAATAAGTTGTGTTGTTCCAAAATATTAAAGTGCAAAACAAAGAATTATTTCTTTTAATGTCGTATGTATGATTAACAGTGTTGACATTAGTTGACATGGATGCCTCCTGGGTGAGGTGTTCGGGGCAGGAGGCGGCCCCGGGGCAGACCCAGGACACGCTGGAGAGATTATATCTCGGCTGGCCTGGGAACGCCTTGGTATTCCCCCGGATAAGCTGGAGGAGGTGGCTGTGGAGAGGGAGGCCTGGGCTTCTCTGCTTAGGCTGCTGCCCCCGCGACCCGGCCCCGGATAAGCAGAAGATGATGGATGGATGGACATTAGTCATGTGAGATCTTTAGCTGTCTGCTGATGGATTTCCTCATTCTCTTGAGAATTGTATTCTTTTGTTTTTCCTACTATAAAAAAAATTAACTCATAATAAAGGAACTGAATATGATGAGCTTGCCACAGTTCTTCTGCTGGCTGTGTCATCATCTTCTGGCTCTTCATGTCATCCTGATTCTTCTCTGAACTTTTTGGAGTGAGGAATAAAGTCATACTTACACATGCAGTCTTTTAAATCGATGCCAGTCTATACAAACAACTACAGCTGGCATTTATTTGTAATAATTACAAGAATGTTACTGCTGTCTGCCTGCTTCTTGTTTCCAAACACAGTCCAGCACACAGCGCGAATAAGCTTTCAAAAGAATGCAACAAGCACATTTCTGTGTATAACCCATCATTAGAACCAACCAAAATGACCATTTCATTGACCCACCCAAATTTAAGAATGTCCACCCTTCAACGTCACCCAGAGAGCAGCTCAGGAGGTACAAATATCCTTGGACAAGATCCTTACCCCGAGTCTCCGATCCACGTGAGCAGGCGAACAAGGCATGTCGCATCGAGTGCCACAGGAAACATTACCTAACAGGATCCACGTCCTGCTCATCGAAAGTAAAAAAAGATTTTATCCCACACACTTTGCCTTATTGCATCTCTGTGGCGTGATGTTTGGGCCTGCTCTGAAATCGGGACACCAAGAAACCTGTGGAGTCAAATCAGGCTTGTTGGAAAAAAGCAGTCGTCTTTATTTAGCATGTTTCACAACAATGAATACTTTGAGCCTTTCACCTGTTTCTATGTGGGAGAATTTAACTGTTGATTGAACCAATTGAGGAAATCTGCCTCCCGTTCCCAGACAGGTCCACCCCTTAACCTTGAGTCGGCTCACGTGTGCAGCAAGCAGCATCTTCAGCATTCAAACATGGAGGTACGGGTAAGGTTACACAGCTGAAACTACACCTGGCTGTACTGCTTAGCCTTCCACATGAGTGAGCACTACTGCAGTACGTAGAACAATGCACGCACACTGTGCACTGTAGTGACTTCCCAGCACAGTCCAGTGCTGTCCACATTTTTAGGCACTACTAGTACTGTGACTCAGACGAAGGCTAAACTAGTGTTAGGAGTAGCTGATGAGGGAGGAGAAAAAGAAGAGGAGATAAAGACTGGCTCAGGTTGGTGGATGGCAGTGCTGAGCACTGTGCTCTCAGTGGTATGTTGTGGGCATCGTGGCGCTCCACGCGCTCCTCTATAAGGTACGTCAGCCATGCAGCAACGACTTCAGCGTCTCAGGGACAAACCACTGACCCCCCACCTCCAGCCAACCGCCACAAACGTACACGTTTGCTCTGAACGGCTTTACCAGACTGCAGGTACAGTCACATGACACAAGGCAGGGTTATATGACGTTAAGAGCTCTCTGTTCAAAGATGGTTTCTGGCAATAGCCGTGATGCAGTCCACACACTCGGGTCCATGTTCTGTGACCTCTTCCATGCCATCATCTGTTCTCAGACCTTTAACCACAGCGACTGGAGGAGTGAGGTCACGTTACACGCCACAAACGGTCTCTGTACACAGAACGATACCACCCAGTACCTCATAAGGAAGTACGCACGTGGACACCTGAGCCTGCTGCGTGTAGGAGCTGTGAGGTCACACAAAGGAAAGCTTTCAATGACAGCAAGCTTCACGTGCATGTTTATGTCCAGTTTGTCCAAATGATCACAACCACTCATTTGTAAGTAAGACATCCAGGTAGTTTGCAGGTTTAGCAACTCCTTCGCCCTCTCTCCATGTTCCTACAGACATGGATATAGATGCGGGGGAGCGTATCTCAGTGTCTTCCAACAGCCACAGGCTCGTGTTCCATTTTACAAATGCAACTCGATGACCATCAAGCATTTAAAACAACTGTCTGCTGATGGAGCAGCTATTTTACATGGTACCCTTATTACCATGGTTACATGAGCTGTTGCCAAAGTGGCGTTTTCACTTCCAAGTGAGTGATGTCAGCGATTTGGGCAAAGCGTTGCTGTAAGCCTGCCTCTGTGTGACGGCCGTGCTGCCTGACCCGAGGACGTCTGCCGACTGTGTCAGAGGATGGATATTGCAGACTACACAACAGCAGCGGGATGTTTAAAAAGACAACCGAACTTTGAAGCAGCGAGACGATTCTGTGTCCGAGAACATTACGCAGCCTATTGACCGATGAGGAGGAAAAGCATTCAAAACAGGACGCGTTGCCTGTTGTGAGGGGAAATGATTTCACAGTCCTTATTAGAGACAAAGCACTTTTTCAACAGTGGTTACACCTGTTTCACTGATCAGGTCACAGCGACGTGTCCACACAGTCACAGCAGACACACCTGTGTTATCTGTGCTGTAAACAGAGAGGTATGAAGGTCCACAGCAAGTCAGGCCAAGCTTACAAAACAAAGCGGCAGCAGGCGCACGGCGAGCACGGCGAGCACGGCCTCTTTCACCCTCAGAGACACAAACTGAGGAGAGCTCGCCTCACGGCTCCTGGATGCAAACGAGAAGACATATTAGGGAGATGTTTCATCAGCGGGAGATGACCAGATCAAAGTCCAGCTTTACACTCCAACGGCAAAGGAAACTACTCACGTCACCATGAACTAGGATGGTCTCGTTAGGTTCCAGGTGTAACCACAGCAACAGACAAAGCTTTATCAGGTCTGCAGACGGGGGGGGGCTATGCAGCGTGAGCGGTTTCTACGAGACTGAACCCAAAGCAGACGACACAGAGTACGTGCTGGGCTTCTACCTGTCCGCTGTACAGGTTGGCACAAGGAGAGCATCTGAGACTCAGTCTACATGTGTACATCCTCCACAGCGTGGGTACGGTATGCACTGATATATAAACACTGATTTTATTTAGAATCCTCAACACAGGCAGACAAGGAAATAAAACGAACAATAATGGCAACCTGTGACCAAAGAACAAACATTCTGAAAATGTCTAAGTGCACTTACACATCTCTGCATGTCCCCCAAAGGAAGAAGGCCCGAAACTGAGAAGGAGAACAAGCTATGTGATGTGCCGTCCTGGACCCAATCTCTTTCCACGCGCTCACCTCAAAACAGACTGGGTGGAAACAACAAGCAATGACTACGCTAGAGTGGAATGGTCAGTGGGGAATACGATGCAGTAGCAAACACTAAACTAAATCTCTGTGGGAGCTGTGGGCAAGAGTTCAGGGGTACTTTGTCGCCGAGTTTATCGAGTTGGAAACGCATCGTCCCGTATTTGCATTATTTCTTTTACATTTATCACAACAGGCAGGCATGAAAAACGTGAACCTTCAAATAAATAACGAGGAAAATGATCCTTTCTGTACACAGAAAGCACATTCACATGTGTGGATGTGGGAGCGGGTACTCGAGGAGGTCTCTACGTTTACACTGACTGATGTGTGATGATGCAGGCACAGCAGCGGATCTATTAGAGAGATTTATTAGAACCACGTATCCACTTTCATTATTCACTTGCTTTTCCTCGAACATACTCTGGCCTGTCTGGTCACCTTTGAGATTGTGTCTGATACAGGAAGGGCAGGGCAGGGTTTATGGGCTTTCTGAGAAGGAGTCTGTTGGGAGCAGGGGTTCAGAGCATGCCAAACCCTTTGGCATAGGTGATGGCTTTCAGCAGTCTCTCCCTCAGCTTCTCCTTGCTGTTGTACTCGGGCAGCAGCAGCACGTTAAAGCAAGTGTGAGAAGTCGGTAACCTGTCGAGAAACCACACATCACACAGACAACACGTCAGGAACAAAGCAAATCGTCACACAGCAACACCGAGTGTATGCAGAGACAAAATACATGAAGTATACAGGCCGACAGCTCCACAAAGGGCTGTGATGCCTGCTGCTGTCACAATCGGTCTCCTTTATGTCCAACAAAAACAGACTGGCTTTAACTGCTTCATCCTTCCAGTGTTCACACTTCATAACAGTCATGCCAGTTTCTCGAGATACCTGCACTGGTGTGATGACTGATCAGTTTCCTCATCGTTTTTACAACATGTGATGAAGAAAAAGGATATTGTTGGATAAATAAGCTGAATTTAAAGACAACGCTACCACTCGTAATAAGCCACGTTCTCTCATGTCTACTTACTGATAAGCACGTACATTTTAAACACTGTGTACTGGACTCCTTAATGTTTGCTAAGAGCGTGCTGCTGAAACAAGGACACAGTCAGCTGTGCATAAAGACTTTCGAGCTTCAGTCACTAGCAGGAAGCAGAGCGCACGCAGCCCGTGCACCACAACAGAAGAGGGACAGGAAACGGAACGGCTGTGGCTCACCTGTCTGTGTCGGGGCCGTTCTTGGCGATAATCATCTTCAGCTTGCCCAGCCCACCCACAGGCGCTCTGTCGGTGCCGGTGGTGAACTGTAGGAAGAGGCATTTCTGCTCCTCGCCAAATGAGTGCAACGTCTCCCAAAACTCCCTACGACACAAACACGAGGAAACGCCTTCATCAAATATATATGAATTCAGTTTCAAAACATAGCCAGTGGATGCACAGACGTATGTGCTCCGTTTAAACATACAAGTTAACGGTGAGCGAGGGTTCAGTCTTTGCATATTTTTGGTCTTCCAAAGTAAACTCTCATGGTTTCTCAGGTGGAGTCTGTGCCTGGTGACGAGGCTGCAGCTGCACAGTGAGGAGGAGGCAGTGCTGATGTCAGGCGCTGAGGCCCAGTGAGTGTCAGGAACGTCACACACGGACCGCGCTCGCACCGCGCCCGCTGCACTCCTCCTCGTTTGGATATATTTCTCATGTTTGTCATTTCTTCCTGCATCTACT